CGTCTGCGATGCGGCGATGCCTAGGGCTCAGCCCAATACTGCAAGGCGCCAGGTCTACTGGTGGTCGCCGGAGATCGCACGGCTGCGTCAAGCCTGCGTGACCGCGCGCCGCCAGTGGTCCAGGTTCCGCAGGAGGCGTCGCCGCCCCGAAGATGCGGCAGCGAGAGAGGCGGAGCTGTTAGCGGGTTACAGGGTTGCCAAGAGGACCCTTCAGGCAGCGATAAAGCGGGCCAAGAGCGAGGCCCGCCGCGAGATGCTGGAGACACTGGAGCGGGATCCGTGGGGACGCCCCTACCGTATGGTTAGGGGCAAGATGCGCCCATGGGCCCCGCCGCTCACACGGTGTCTTCAGCCAGAGCTGCTTGAGAGGGTCGTTGGCTCCCTGTTCCCAACGCGAGTGGTGGAGCATACTCCGCCACAGATGGCTCCGCCTCCGGCGCTTGAGGCGCCTAACGTGGATGACGACGACGTGCCTGAGGTCACTGGGGTGGAACTAAGGGTGGCGGTGTTACGGCTTAAAGCCAAAAACACCGCCCCGGGACCCGATGGCATTCCTGGCCGAGCGTGGGTCCTGGCCTTAGTCGACGAGGCTCTCGAGCCCCGACTGCGAGGGTTCTTCAGCGCATGCCTCGAGCGGGGCCAGTTCCCGAAATTGTGGAGGACGGGGAAACTGGTCCTCATCCGAAAGGAGGGGCGCCCGGCGGACTCACCGTCCGCCTACCGGCCCATAGTGTTGCTTGACGAGGTGTGCAAGCTCTTTGAAAGAGTGATTGCAAGGCGCCTCGTCAAGCATCTCGTGATGGTTGGGCCGGATCTGGCGGACAACCAGTACGGTTTCCGTCAGGGGCGCTCCACCGTGGATGCGATCATGCGCGTGAAGGCTCTGGCGGAGGAAGCAGTCTCCCGGGGTGAAGTGGTGTTGGCGGTGTCCTTGGACATCGCCAACGCGTTCAACACTATGCCCTGGAGCTGCATCAGGGAGGCGCTCGTGTATCACGAAGTGCCTCTCTATCTCCGCCGCATAGTCGGGGCATATTTGTCGGAGAGAGCCGTCGTCTACCCCAGTAGGACCGGTCTCGGTAGGCGTGAAATGTCGTGCGGTGTTCCGCAGGGGTCGGTGTTAGGGCCACTCTTGTGGAACATCGGCTACGACTGGGTGCTTCGTGGTGCCTTCTTGGATGGTGTCGCCGTCGTGTGCTACGCGGACGACACACTCGTGACGGCGCGCGGCAAGACGCACCACGAGGCAACCCTGAGGGCCACGGCCGGGGTTGCCCAAGTCGTTGAGCGTATCCGGCGGCTGGGTCTCGAGGTGGCTCTGCACAAGTCCGAGGCCCTGTTCTTCCACGGGCTTCGGAGGAAGCCGCCTGAGGGATCTAGCCTCACGGTAGGAGGCACTCGCATCGGCATCGAGCCCTCGATCAGGTATCTGGGGCTCGTACTCGATGGCCGATGGGACTTCGGATATCATTTCCGAGGTCTGGTCCCCAAGTTGGTTGGGGCAGCGCGTGCGTTGGCGCGGCTGCTGCCCAACATGAAGGGACCCGATGACTCCTGCCGGAGACTCTACTCGGGGGTTGTGCGGTCCATGGCCCTTTACGGGTGCCCAGTATGGGCGGGGGCCCTGAAGGCCAGCAACGTCGCGATACTGCGGCGACCGCAGCGAATGCTGGCCATCAGGATCATAAGGGGGTACCGCACGATCTCCTTTGAGGCGGCGAGTCTCCTGGCCGGAACTCCACCGTGGGACCTGGAGGCGAGAGCCCTTGCGGCACTGTATCAGTGGCGCAAGGAGGCGCAGGAGTTGGGTCGATGCCCCGAGATTCGAGAAATCGATGACCGGAAATCCCAACTCCGCCAGGTCATCATAGGGGAGTGGAGGGAACGACTCGGGCAACCGAGCGCCGGGCACGCCGTCATTGCGGCGGTAAGACCCGTTATGGAGGATTGGCTCGAGAGGCGTCACGGGACCCTCTCCGTCTACCGATTGACGCAGGTGATCACTGGGAAGGGATGTTTCGGAGATCACCTGTGTCTGATCCGCAAGGAGCCAACGCCTGAGTGCCACCACTGCGATGGCCAGACCGTGGACACGGCTCTCCACACGCTGGCAGAGTGCCCGGCGTGGGTTGAGCAGAGGCGAGACCTCGTGGCGGCCATCGGAGTGGGAGTTCTCTCGCTCGATAGCCTGATTGCGGCTATCGTGCGGAGCGAGAGTGCGTGGAACTCTGCCGTCTCCTTCTGCGAGCAAGTTATGCTCGCGAAGGAGACGGCGGAGCGGGACCGGGAGAGGTTTAGAACTCTCCCGGCCCGCCAGGCCCGGGCACGGGCCAGGCAGCGCAGGCGACTCAGGCGCCGGAGGTCGCAGAACGACCTCCGTCCTCCATAAGCGCAGGCCTGGGGGTGACAGGTGAGGCCATCTGTCACCCTAGCAGAAGCAGGCCGGGGTGGCGGCGAGCGCGTTGCGAAGCGCGCTCGCTTTCAGGGAGCACAGGGAACATGGGGTTCCCACACGGGGCGGGGGTCGTCTACTCGTCTGTAGATGACCCGAGGTATGTCGGGGCACCAGGGCCTTCCTTTCTAGGGTATACCTGGTTCCCCGGCTATTAGTACCCGGCGAAGGCGTGCGGTTTTAGTCGGTTCGAGTCCGACATGCCACCGACAGGTGGTATCCGAGGGGATTTCCGCACGGAAAAAAAAAAAAAAAAAAAAAAAGGTGTATTCTATGTGCGTTGCGAAGCGCGCTCGCTTCCAGGGAGCAGAGGGAACATGGGGTTCCCACACGGGGGGGGTCGTCTACCTGTTGTTGTAGATGGCCCGAGGTATGTCGGGGCACCAGGGACTTCCTTTCTAGGGTATACCTGGTTCCCCGGCTATTAGTACCCGAGACGGCGTGCGGTTTTAGTCGGTTCGAGTCCGGCATGCCACCGATAGGTGGTAACCGAGGGGATTACAAAAAAAAAAAAAGGTGTATTCTATGTATAATTTGTATGTATGTGTTAACTTAAACTTAAGACTTAAAAGTAACAGTCGAACAGAATAAAAACAAAGTAACAAAATAAAAATATTATAAAAGGTAGAAAGTTACCAAGAAAGGGAAAAAAACCCTCAACATCTTATTAGCCAGCTATAAAGTAGGTTAATAATTATTTAGACTACGTTATTTTATGAATTACATACCTAAGTTGCAGTTAAATAATTTGCCAATTCAAAATAATCTATACTAATATTATAAAGCTGAAGAGTTTGTTTGTTTGTTTGTTTGTTTGTTTGAACGCGCTAATCTCAGGAACTACTGGTCCGATTTGAAAAATTCTTTCAGTGTTAGATAGCCCATTTATCGAGGAAGGCTATAGGCTATATATCATCACGCTTAGACCAATAGGAGCAGAGCACCAATGAAGAATGTTTTAAAAACGGAGAAAATTTATTACTATTGAGAGACGCAGACGAAGTTGCGCGGGTCAGCTAGTTTGTAATACTTTCTTAACTACACCTTGGCTTACAAATACAACAAATGTCAAAACATATAACATAACTCGTAAGCCGTAATACATTGTCAATACGAAGTAGATTATGCCTCGTTACGTAAGACTTAAGAGGCTTACCTGCTAAATAAAGTTTCCCGTGGCTACTCACCCCACCAATCGTCCCTCGGAAAGCTAATAAATTAGTTCCGTGTTCGTCCTATGCTTTGTTAAACCACTGAAATAAATCAAAGTCATTTTCATTCTAATCACGAAGGCGTGTAATTTCTGGTTGTTCTTACGGGGGTAGGACAAAAATATGGTGAAACTACTAGAGTTTCCTGCAGTTTTACCTGTGTTTTAATCACAGACCTGCTCTTCATCCGTATTAGATTTAAACACAATGTTTGAGAAAATTCTTCATATTTTGTGAATTTTCAAAATCTTTAAACAGTTATTCTGTTATTCGGGGTAAAATGAAACAAATCCTAAAATCTAAATCACAAGAATCGGTCCAGTTGTTCTTGAGTTATAAATGATGTAACTAACCCGTCTTTGTGTTATTAAGACTTGTTGAAACTTGACAACGGGTTTGGTTATATATATATTATTATTTGGTTATGGCAAAGAATACAAAAAAGATTTAATTTTTTGAATGGGAATAATCCCGCCTGAGACCCACCACTGTAACTCCTGTACACCAGGATCAACAGCAGTGACCCACGAAGACACCGAGTAATGACATTCGGGATGTCCCAGGAAAAAAATAAAATATCTTGGAACCCGCAACGAAATTAATATAATAAAAGAAATACTTATTTAAAATTAAAAACTATTCTGTAAGAATTTATTGTATTTACACCTTCTGACCCCACACAAAATGCTTAGAAATAAAACAAACAATATGACCAACCAAATAAAGAACAAAGGGGATTAACCCTTGCATTACGAGTATACCCCTTACCTTTTTATACCCAATTATATTACCTCATTCTCAAACAAACGGCGGTAGACACATTTGGATGCAGCTCAATTTGTGTATTTTACGGAAACACTTTTTGTATCATTATCAGCATCAACAGCCTTTACTAGTCCACTGCTGAACATAGGCCTCTCCTTAGAAAGGAAGTTTTGGCCCACTATACCACGCTGGACAGACGGATTGCAATAGGGTTTGTGTCAAGTTTTCCTTCTCTCTGCTGTGCTGCGTCTTGCGTTGTTTTGATCCGTTAGTCGGCTCTTACGACACTCACGGGATGAATAGGAGTGGTGACACTCCGTATCCTTAATCCGTCACCACACGGAAAGCATGGCTATCCAAGGTTAATTCCATATGATAAAAAAAAACAATACATTACAAAAGATAGATTTTAAATTCCTTATAAAATTTGTAGAGTCACATTCGTTGTTTTGTAAATACCTATAACTGACTCTCCAGGATACTAAATCCATTTACGATGAAATGAGGAAACGGCAAATAGGACGTGGTTTAATAACGGAGTTCCAATATTTTACGTGATTTACTTATTGGAAATGTCACCTCGCATCGGTAACATCAATGTCACGAACTGAATATTTATAAACCACTAGCTTTCCCCGTGGTTTTGATTTAGTAACAGATATTTCACCAATATTAGAGATATGTAGTTTTTTCTGTGTGACTTTAAACTTAACTTACTTTAAAAATAAAACATGTAAATGGATAAACACTACAGTAGCAAGTGTCAAAAACAAACAGACATTGACTTTTGTACATAAGATTTTGTAGAGCGGTCTTGACTGCCGGCCCGACTAGAGGTCGTGGGTTCAGCAATGATAAAATAAACTAATCAATATTTTATTTCTAGGTGCTATAATCTTTGGATCGGATCAAGAAGTAGCTGGAGTTATGAGAGCGGTACAGCGCGCCAACGCGACGCACTCCTTCAGCTGGGTCGGTTCTGATGGCTGGAGTGCCAGGTCTCTAGTTTCCGATGGCAACGAACGAGCAGTGGAAGGCACGATTAGCGTCCAACCCCAAGCCAACGACGTGAAGGGATTCAAGGAGTACTTCCTTGCGTTGAATGTCAAGAATAATAGAAGGAATCCCTGGTTTGTTGGTGAGTTATCTATACTTTGATTTTATGACGAGACTGTTGGTTGCTTATGGATATTAAATGATCAATTATTGATTATGACAGGCATGTTGATCTAGTGATGCCTGACTGCTAAACTGCCGTCGTGGGTTCGAATCCCACGTAGGATAATTGTATGATGATCACGATGATTTATGTAGTATGTATGTATGTATTTAGAAATATTTAAGTATTTTTATCAGTAGTCTAGTTGCCTTTGCTTTACCTATTTTGGAATCAGACAGGCATGTGTAAGATGTGTGAGTGTATTACTATTATTTTATGACTAAAACTTGAATCAAATATTAAGCTTAGTTAGAGGAGGTCAGGGTAAACAAGTACGCAGAACGACCTCCGTCCTCCATAAGCGCAGGCCTGGGGGTGACAGGTGAGGCCATCTGTCACCCTAGCAGAAGCAGGCCGGGGTGGCGGCGAGCGCGTTGCGAAGCGCGCTCGCTTCCAGGGAACATGGGGGGGTCGTCTACTCGTCTGTAGATGACCCGAGGTATGTCGGGGCACCAGGGACTTCCTTTCTAGGGTATACCTGGTTCCCCGGCTATTAGTACCCGAGACGGCGTGCGGTTTTAGTCGGTTCGAGTCCGACACGCCACCGAGAGGTGGTATCCGAGGGGATTTCCGCACGGAAAAAAAAAAGGGTAAACAAGTAATGTGAAATCTATTAATATAAAATAGTGAGGACAATACAACGGACCAATACATTCAACAAAATGAATACGGGTCACATTAGGATGTCTAAAAGTCTTACAAGCTAGCTTAGTGAAAATAAATAAATAATATTTAACAGCCAAACAAATACTCCTTAGTGAAAGAAAGAAAACCTATTAGTCACTATGTATTATATTCATAAAATTTACGTGAATGTTGTTTTATTTTCTGTGATTGGTATCCCATGTTAGTACGAAAATAAAAAAAAACACCATACTTTTCTAAACCTTCAAAAATATATCAAATAATAATACTTTTTGTTAACTTTCTGTGCTGCCATTACTGAGGTTTTGCAGTTTGACATGACATGTCTTATACTATCCACGTTAAGATTCTCTTATTCCCCCATGCGAGCAATTTTCAGCTCTTGAAGCTTGATCGGGGGAATATTTCGTTGTTTCGCGCAACCTCCGATTTTCGAGCTACGTGCTAGCCACTCACATTACATCAGATCAACAGCCTTTAATAGTCCACCGCTGGACACAGGCCTCTTCTTAGAAAGGAGGTTTTGGCCTACTATACCACGCTGGCCAGACGGGTTGGTATCGGGTTTGTTTCAAGTTTTCCTTCTACCGCGGTGCTGTTGTCCTGCGTAGTTTTCTCCCTTAGTCGGCTCTTACGACACCCACGGGATGAATAGGGGTGGTGACACTCTGTATTCTTAATCCGGCACCATTCGATATAATCATATTGTTCAGCTCTTGAAGGTAGTTTCAAACCGATCTGGCTTTATATTTCTCTTCATTCATTCATTCATTGCTCTACAATGTGTGGGTAAAATGAATCACAGTCCCAGAACATGGCAAAGTACAAAAAAGGCATTACGATGGAAGGAAAGCGTAATTACATGTACTTTACCACCGCTCTTAACTTTATAGCCCATGTTGATTAAGGCTTCAAAGAGATAGGCTTAATGTTTCTATAAAGGGGAAAGTAAAGCTTGTGAAACAAAGTTTCTACGGAGGCTTTAAGTACACGTATTGTATAGAGTTCTGCGGATATAAAACAGAAAGAATACACATAATGTGATCGACGCTATCTTCTGAGATACTGGTCATAACCTAATTCAGAATATAGCTATTGTAATCTATATCAATATATATATATATATATATATATATATATAAGAGATTTCCACGTATATAGTCACTCATCACGATATCTCTGGAACCATTAGAGCTAAAGACTTGAAATTTGGTAGGAATATTCTTTTCACCGAGTAGAGGTCAACGAAAATAGTAAAACAACGTTTGCAGGGTCAGCTAGTAAAGAAATATAATCACAACCACCAAATTAATTATGTACTGTCAGACTTGGGTTAATCTTGTATGCAGGTAAAATAGTTTATAAAAGTTATGTGCTACTTGTAAAATTGGTGAGAAATAAATTTATTGTTATTTAAAATAATGTGTTGTTGTTATGAACATACAAATATTTTCAACTGCACGGACGGCGTAGTGGTATAAGCGGTCACGATCATGGATGGATCACACAAAGTATTGTCTCATGTGGGTTCGATCCCCACATGAGACAATACTTTGTGTGATCCAAAAATTGTTGTTCTGAGTCTGGGTGTTCTTTGTGTCCGTTTCATGTATGTTTGTAACGTCCTCCGCGATTCAGGATTTATTACTAGTGCGGGAGTTGTCTTTATTAAAAATTAAAATAAAAACTAATACATCATATAAATAATTACTTTTATTACCAATATACATATCACAATTTAGCAACAAAGTTTTAGAAGTTTCTGGAATTTCGAAAAGTTAGGTTGTATGCTAAAGCTTACGAAACTGCCGGCACTGTTACTGCGATACACCTAGGGTATAAACGGTTGCACCAGGGACTTCCTTTCTAGGGTATACCTGGTTCCCCGGCTATTAGTACCCGAGACGGCGTGCGGTTTTAGTCGGTTCGAATCCGACATGCCACCGATAGGTGGTATCCGAGGAGATTAGCGCACGCTAAAAAAAAAAAAAAGAAAGGTATAAACGGCTGCCGCGTTTTCTACTCAGTCTAGTCCTGCGTTACAACGAATAAACAAGTGCAAAGAATCTTAAACAGTCCAAACGAATATTAGTTGAACTGTTGTTTAATTTTGCTATTTATTTTATAAAAAAAAATGAAATCGTCTAACACTCCAAAGTTGTCAAATATTTAGCAAAAGGAAGGTAATCCGTTATGTGCCTATGCCGATCTACATCCGCTGGTTGCCAAGGGGTTGAAGAAGACAGCCTGGGGGTGACAGGTGAGCCCATCTGTCACCCTAGCAGAAGCAGGCCGGGATGGCGGCGAGCGAGTTGCGAAGCGCGCTCGCTTCCAGGGAGCAGAGGGAACATGGGGTTCCCACACCGGGGGGGTCGTCTACTTGTTGTAGATGGCCCGAGGTATGTCGGGGCACCAGGGACTTCCTTTCTAGGGTATACCTGGTTCCCCGGCTATTACTACCCGAGACGGCGTGCGGTTTTAGTCGGTTCGAGTCCGACATGCCACCGATAGGTGGTATCCGAGGGGAATACCGCACGAAAAAAAAAAAAAAAAGGGGTTGAAGAAGACAGGGTAAACGGACTCATGGCCAGTCTGTTTTTTCTATTCAGGTTTCTGGTTAAGTCAACCTAGACAGTAGATACTACAAAAATACCTTTTATGACAGTTGCGAAATCGAAAGTTGATCGGAACTCAATTATGACCCAACTTTTACGAGAATTGGCCTTCTGAGAGTGACTCTCAGAATTTGACAACTAACTGGTCACACTTCAGTTACAGATGACTATGGGCGGTAGTAGTCACTAATCTTAGGGAGACCCGTATATTGCTCTTCATCAACAACCTTTAACAGTCCACCGCTGGACACAGGCCTCTCCTTAGAAAGGAGGTTTTGGCCTACTATACTACGCTAGCCAGACGGGTTGGTATAGGGTTTGTGTTATCCTTCTCTATGCAGTGCTGTTGTCCTGCGTAGTTACTTAGTCGCCTCTTACGACACCCACGGGATGAATAGAGGTAGAGACACTCCGTATTCTTAATCCGTCACCACAAGGACTTTATTGCTCTTATACAATGGAAAATATCTCGAAGCGTACCTTATAACAATAATTACATTTTAGACTCTTACTCAATCTCAATAAGATAGCAAAAGTAGTTCTACCTTCTTTACAAAGATAGCCTATTTTAAATAAATACAATTGTTTCATAAGTCAACAAGATCAATTGACCTTAGAGCCTTTTGAAACTAAACCCGAAGTTCATTCTCAAAAGACAAAGACTCGTAACATAATTTCCTATTGAAACGGAATACTTGTCTTGTTCTCTCTAGTATCGTTTCACATAATGGTCCTTGACGTTTGTTCTGAGAGAGTTTAAGTTATCTGCACTTGTTATTATGAGTATGTTTTGTTGTATATATTTCTATGAGGCAGAATTTAATGGTTCAAGAGTTATAAATGGGTAATTTATTGATTTCATTGGCTAGCCAGAATTTAACAACACAATGGTGTCTCTTAAAATTTTGATCCATCCGAAGGTTGTCTGGAAGAGGTTGCTCTTAGCAAGGCCGCCTTTTGTACAATACATGTAAAACGATGTACGAATAAAGAGTTTTCAATCTATCTACTGCTTGTTAAATAAATTGTTACATAAAACAAAGTTGTTGACGAAGTATATTGCGCTATATACGTATGTTCACCCCTCAGAACTTTCATCGCTTCAACATTATTGCTTGGATAATTGCCTCTCTACTACTGTGCGATTTACACGAACAATTTTGCCTCGCACAACCAATTTATGAAACAAATTGTCGTCTGCGGTTTTTTCCGGACCGATACGACCTCAAAAGCCGGTAAATCAAGAAGCAAAAGAGTCTTCAGTTGAAGGTGTCCATTGGCGCTGGTGATTACTTATCCTCAGGTGAACCTTTAGATTCACCTATATTGGGGGCAAAACAAAAAATCCTAATCTGTATTGATATTATAAAGCTAAGAAATTTATTTGTTTGTTTGTATCTTGGCTATATTGCTGATGCTCAGAAACTGCTGGGTCAAGTTGACAAGAAATTGAAAAATTTACTAACTGCACGGATGGCTTAAGGCGGTGATCTCGATGCTTTCAACCGCATTGATTGTCATGGGTTCGATCCTCACATTAGTTGTTGTTCTCAGTCTGGATATTTGTTGGTCTGGGTGTTTATTGTGTCCGTTTCATGAAGGTTTGTAAAGTCCCCTGCGAGTATGTATCCTAGTGCGGGAATCGTCTTTAAAAAATCTTTCAGTGTTGGATAACCCATTTCTCGAGGAGTACTTTAGGCTGTATAAAAAGTGACCAAAAGTAGCCGAATATCAATGAAAAATATTACAAAAATGGGGAAAATGTATTCCTTTCGATGGACGCATACTAAGTTGAGCTGGCTTGTTAGTTAATAATAAACAAACCGTGAAAACTTCGTCGCCATTAAAATAAAATTTGTTTTAATAACGCCGTGAAAATAAATTGATAATTTACACCAATTACAAGAATATCAAGTTTACAAACTCCAAAGAAGGGTGAAGTTTCTTTTGAGAAAATTCCATCAATGGTGCTGGAGGACCTGCCTGATACAGTGCTTTGTTACACAAAAATAAAGTTTTTGGACCCCTTTCAACTATTTTCAATGTAATGGGTGATAAAAGGGAAATTAATTATAAAATTTGTTCTTAGTCTTTTTCTCTCCTTTGTTGTTAAATGTTTTGGGCGCTTATAAATAACTTCTTTATCACTTAGATATACATTTATAAAATAGATAACTGATCTTTGGAGATAATGGATAGAAATTAGTTGTTAATATGATGGTAAATTAACTGATAATACAGATGAAGGATATGGTTACCGATACGACCTTCAAACCTTCAAGAAAAGAGCGTACTCTTTCCTAAAAGGATGGCAACGCGTTGGTGACTCCTCCGACTTGTGATTTGCTGACGTTCATGGGCGCCGTTGGTCACTTTCCATCATGTGACCCGTCTGCTCGTCTGCCCCCTCTAACATAAAAAAAAGGGTTGTATTTCTACTAGACAGGAATGAAAAAAATAAACACGTATCAGATTTAATCCATTGAGGGATGAGAATAGACTGGGAATGAAATGACTGAGTGGTAACCCAGTAGGTTAACACATAGCAAAGTTAAGCAATCAAAGCCAAGTCGGTCTATGGATGGGTGACCATTCTTAACACATCGAGATCCCTCCAAACACATGGATAGCCTAAGCCTAAATAATTAGTTAGATAGTTAATCCGTCGGTTCCACTTGCAATACAAAAATCTGTTACAATCATTACGGGTACTTGGAGTCATCAACTCTTCTCGTCTTTCTACAGAACTTCGATATCGCCTATTACTTGGGTTGTAGCGATCTGATGATAATCGCTCCGCGTAAAAAAAACAAGAAAAAATTCTTTCTTACAACAAAGTTAACAAAAAATCCCTAAAAAAAAAATATCACCGTTTACCTACTACTAGTAAACCACTATCCGCTGTGTACGTACTCTTCATCATCATCTTCTTATCGTTTTCCCCAATTCATTTGAAATCAACGCAGTGAGTTTTTCTCTTATGTTCCCTTTATTACTTGTTAGATCGCTGCTTGCTCTCATTGTAGCCATATCATCTTTCTCGCAGTGACTTTTATGGCTTTTTACTTTTATGGCCGGTCGTCTACCTGACGCCAATCCTCCTTGGAAATTTAATCGTTCATCGCACATAGTATAAAGCGAAATGCAGTTAACCACGTAAACTGGTAAGTTTAAAGTAGAATGTCAATGCAGTACTCACGATAAATGACACTATTATTATTTTCGTCAGAAACAACACAGCTTTTTTTTACAGTATAAGGGGGCAAACGAGCAGACAGGTCACCTGATGGTAAGCAGCTACCGCCCATGGACTCCTGCAACTTAAAAGTCACAAGTGCGTTGCTGCCCTTGTAGTCCCTCCCGCTCGAGTCAGCGGGAGGGACTCCAAGGGCTCCGGTAACCTGACTCACTCAGTGAAAAGTAACAAAAGATTTTTTTAACACAGGTTTTCTGTGAGACCGTGGTATCACTCCGATCGAGCCGGTCCATTCGTGACGAAGCATGGCTCTCCCACGGTACAGCTTCTCACATCCATCACTCTGTGGCACTCAGCATCACGGTTTTTAAGCCATACTGTGAGAGGCTAAACTGCTGGCAGGAATATCGCAGTTGTACTTGATCACTGCTTTGATTGATTGTATAATTTATACTCTCGGTCATTTTATTTTCGGTACTAATTTTTGCTTTTTTTAAATAAAACGTTTTTACGATGGTGAATCATTGATCATCATCATTGGTGTTTAGAACTTTGAAAATGACGAACTTCTATACAACCGTTGATCCCTTATTTTACTCCCTTAGGGGGAAAAAGCATCAGCTCCCAAAATTTCAATGTTATCCCTTCCTCTAAACGTTGTTCTGTCATCAGCTAACATCATTGTCAGTGCGATATTTTACAGTAAACGACTTTTCCACCAACTTCCATCAAAATTCAACAGTGAATAACAAAATTCTATAACTACTTTACTGATAAAAAGTGTACCCGTCAGTGAAGGAGATTTTCCATCTTTTGAGAGGGCGTGCTACGGTAAAAGAGAACTTATTTACATACATACAATAGGATGATTTTCAATTCTATCATGGACTTTGTTGTCCGTTCATCTGTCTATCAAGACTCTTTATTTCGGGCACACGTGGTATTGAATTGAAATTAAAACCATACACTCAGGTCTACGGTCTCTTGAAGCTGTAAAACATTCAAACTCCTAAGTTAACGTATAAAAAGATACGGCTGTTTATGTCACAAAAACACATATTTCGACAATCCCATGGGAATCAAAATTCATAGCGTACTACCCGTTGACCTATAACTTTGAAATTTGGCAAGTAACATCTTATACTACAAGTACAGGGAAAAATTTGAAAACTATACATTTGTAAACATAATAAATATAGTTTTTATTTAAAATACGTTCTCAATCATCGAGGTACAATTTCTCATTACAATTTCAAGAATAGAAGTAATTACAGGTTTTGGAAATTAAATTTCGGGCAAAACTCGGGAAAACAAATGTGTACGGCACCATCGGTGGGCTAGTTCGACTAACACTTGTCCGGATTTTTTTTTATTTTTATAAATAATTAATTAATTTTATGGAACGCCCGCCCATGAACGACAACAACTCAGGAGTCACAAGCGCGTATATTTTATAAGGTGTATTAATATTGGTGTTTTAATAATACAACTACAATTCATATTTTATAAAAAATATAGTTGAGAAATTAGAGAATTGATTTGGTGTATTTTATTTTCACTGAAGCTGAAACCTACATCATAGTTATAGAATTAAGTCCAGTTTTTCATAGAATTAATGGCTATATGAAAAAAACCATACAACACTTCTCGTGTTGTATGGTTTCTTGTATATCTGAAGCTGTAATGGAGTATTGTTATAAAATAATAAGAGCATGATTGAAATCAGCACGATTGTTTGTTCTGTGTCTGGGTGTAATTTATCTATAATATGTATGTGTTTAGAAATATATAAGTATGTTTATCAGCAGTCTGGTTACCATAGCACAGGCTCTGCCTAGTTTGGGATCAGACAGCCGTGTGTGAGATGTGTGAGGTTATTATTATCAAACCCATGGTCTCAGGTTTGTCAATAAATTGGTATTCGGGTATAACCCTCGGTGCTTGAATCAGAATTGCACATATCTCGTTTTATATGACTTTAATCTTAAGACAATAAACAATTTTTTCATCAGTTAATACATTTAAAACCTGCAAAAATCTCTTCAACAGAGTTTTGGGAAGATCACTTCCAATGCCGGTATCCAGGCAGCCCTCGTACTCCATACAACGGCCAGTACTCCAGAACCTGCTCCGGTCTTGAGAGACTCACGGAGAATAACACCGAATTTGAGAGGCAGCTGCAGTTCGTATCTGATGCTGTCATGGCCTTCGCGTACTCTATACGGTGAGTTCTTCTGTGAGAAATCATATAAAAAGCTGTAAAAAATTATATATACTTGAAACAAAATATATTCTCAAGTAAAAGTAACTCAGATGATAAGAGAAGGGTTAATAATAATTAAAACAGAATACATTACTGCGTACAAAGCAGGCTTATAATCTTTTTATGAGATATCCTTTATCATGTGCAGAGTCGCTTTTACTTTATTCCGAGTCCCCAACAACTTACAATAATTAAGTACCTCAGCGTGTTGGTTGTTTCCTAATTAATTTTTTGTGTGGGACGGCGTCGTTTTAAATATTTACATGTTAAAATAATTTTATTTTGTGTTATATGATACAAAATTATTAAATTCAAATGTGAGGGAGGAAAGTATATATTACTGTAACAAGTTCATAGTTCAAATTCATAGCTTAGTTAACATTTCAAATTACACATTTTAATGGCGAACCGAATTAAAAAGTATAAAAGAATTTTACTATCCAAAGGGAACTTTACACGTCTTCGATAAAACTATGACAAGTATTGGTAAATAGTTATTTTGAATAAAAAATTCGTCTTGCCACCGGCATTTGCGGTGGGTTGGTCTGTCAAAGAACAACCAAATAAGGCCCTACGTTTGCCTATACTTTAAACTACCTGTATTGGCCTAAAGAGGCACTTCTGACCGCTGACTCTGGACACTATTACTACGATTAAATAATATTAATTCAGCTATAGAAATATCCGTTATACAGGCATTTAATAACTAATTTAAAGGTACATACAACGTTGACTGCTATTATCCTCGTTTGTACTGACGATGTTCTTTGAATATAAATGCCAACCAAGTTAATAATTTTAACCTAGACTCAAATTGGTAGCTTCTTACCTAGATAATTAGAATAACAAATATTTCTACTTAAGATTCATTGATGTATTTTATAACTAAAGTCACTCTCGACTCCGAAGAGGACGCGATATCTCTAAGACAACACACGGGCGGTTTCGTGCTCAAAATGTAATAATCAGAATTTTTATAATATTTATCAATGACAAGTACCGTATAAGTAATACGTACCGTGTGGTGTATAAAATTCTTAGATAGTCTAATGTATAAAATTATCGTGTCATGGTGTTAGAAATTGAACTCCTCCGAAACGGCTCCACCGATTTTCGTGAAATTTTATGTGCATATCGGGTGGTCTGAGAATAGGCCAACATCTATTTTTCATACACCTAATTTTTCTTTTTGTTTAGACATTTAAAAAAAAAATGTATATGGTAAAACAACGTTTGCGGGGTCGGCTAGTAATTTATATAAAAGGGGCGAGTTGCGTTTGCAACGGTTCTTCGAGTTCTGACATCAAGATGGCTGTCTTGACGTGGGAGAGCCATGTATGAATGGGCCAGCTCGACCAGAATGTTACCACGGCCTCACAGAAAACCGGTGTTAAGCAATTCTTTCGTTGCCTTTCACAGTCTTTCCAAATCCCCCCTCCCGAGGGCGGCAACGCACTTGTGACTTTTGAGTTGCAGGTGTCCATGCATATAATGTAAAATACGTACGAAGATGTTAGCTAAAGTTGAAAACAATTTCTTAATCAAATAGTTCTTCATAAAATCGCAGATCATGCAAATGAAGTGGCTGGCCCATATTAATCAGAACCCTTCAAATCATGTAGGGTTAACTGCCGGTATCAGACTTGTTAGGAATTAATTTTATGCGATCCTTTTAACATTGATTTAAGCTGAAAAGTCTCTATAAGTCGACCTTTTCGTGGCCTTTACCTAATTAGTTTGGGTATTTTTGACACTGATACTTTATTGCTGAATGAATATTAATTACGTATGACATGAATGGATATTTTTAGTTAAACAACTGCAAAAAAAGAAACAAAAAGTAAGACGAAAATTTTAAAACTGTTTCTAGCTTCCATATTTTACCAAATGTGAAAAAATGAATTCTTTTGTTGTATTTCACTGACTGAGTGAAGTGACTAAAGACCCGACTTCCCTCTTTACTATTTCCGGAGGGCTGAGGGGCACTCAAAGGCCATTCAACTCACTTATGACTCCTGACTAGGTACTTACCAATAGATTACTATTATTATTATTCTGATTGTCTTATGTTAAAAAGATCCAAAACTTTGCAGTCTCACAGAAAATAAACACTTTTGTACAGCCACATTAATCACTGATAAAACAACGCAACTTCACATAATCAGCCATCAAATCCTTGAAAAACATTCGCACCTACCTTTTTGTCCAAATTCGTTTAGTTTTATAAAAGAAAAATAAAAGTTCAATGGCTGTTAAAAAGGGATATTGTTGAGTAGGTACTTGAGCTACAAAACGGAGGGAAGCTGGCACTCTTCGGTATTGTAAAACACTGTTTTATAAGTTGCTCTCGATATAATATTTATGATTGGCGTTCAATGTATCGTGTAACCTCTTTGGTAGTATGTGTTCGCTGTGAAGGATTAAATGGTTTTGAAAGCCTCTCGGGAATAATATTTTCTGTTTTAGTCAAGGATAGAACTTATCTTTATGCGTGCTAAAAATTCTGAAGTACGCTTATGTTATGGTTTTGTTCTTTTCATTCAAGATAAAAACGTTGCTTATTTATAAATGGCTTTCAGTTTTCCTTCAGATGTTGAGATTTTGAAGTTTATTCATTTGTGAAGTTTATGTAGTCTGAAAATAAGATTTTGGTAAGCATTAACAGTCATTGTCTTAAATTCCTTTCGGCTCTACCGGCGTTTTATCACAGCCGCAAAGAAAACCAATTTTCCGGTGCTTTTTACCGATTGTGAGAGTATACCGTAATTGTAGCCCTGATTCTGGGTGAGACTTAAATGCCAGCAATGCACTTGTGACTCCTGAGTAGTAGGTGTCCATGAGCGAGGGTTAGCCTCCCACAATGAGATGACTCGTCAGCTCGTTTGCCTCCCTATATTCTGGCCTGTTGATTTTATTTTATTTATTTTATTTTATTTTATTTTATTTGGGGAGCTTACAGCTACAGTACAAGTACATCAGTAATTTAGTTGTTGAAAAGCCATTAACAAGCTTCCACAGATACACAAGAAACATTCTACTTAAGTTACATTCTAATTAAATTACTAAAGATGTAAATAGATGAAAACAAATTGAAACACATGCAGAACCAAGAGTCACAGCTCACACTGCAGTAGTGCAGGCAACACTATCAGCAAATCTGACGGTTAAATAGGATCTAGCACTACCAGTACCTGTACTAAAAAGATCAAAACCACTGTCACTATTTAGCTTGTTCAACTCGGTGAAAACTCTAGGCAGATAGCTATTTTTTCTGAATTCTGATCTAGTGGTTAGTGACCGTGACTGCTAAGCCGGAGGTCGTGGATTCGATTCCCACCCAGGACAAATATTGTGTGATGAGCACGGTCATTTGTTATGTATCTGGGTGTAATTTATCTATAATATGTATGTATTTAGACATATATAAGTATGTTAATCAGCAGTCTGGTTACCATAGTACAGGCTCTGCCTAGTTTGGGCCGTGTGTGAGATGTGTGAAATATTACTATATTATATATTTTATTATATCACAAAAAGCACTGCAAAAATATTATTGTTATTTGCGTTTAAATAGTATATACGAGTATATATTACTTGAGTATTTCTTCATATTTTGTCAAAATTATATTTTTAATATAAATTTAAAAAAAGTCTAATTCTCCGCTCAAAAGTGACCGTTGTTTTAATTTTTATACATATTTATAAATGCACATCTGTCTTGGCCAATTGCCCAATGCCAATAAATTCTGAATAGATAATCAAACACACGAGTCACACAAAGACTTCGTTTTTGCCATCCGGATTTACGAAATCCAAAAATATCAAAAGAACTAGTTTGATAAGCAACAAGAAACGTCAAAGCTTCACGCCTATGGGGCCTCAACAACATTAACTTAATAACAGACCCTCCCTGACCTCTTAACAAAAAAATGAGGTTAAAAACATACTGAAAGTGACCAAAACAACGTCACAACTGTTGTCTCGCCCAACACAAAGCTTTTAGGGATATCGCAGTGTGCATTAGTGGACATTAAATTACAGGAAATGGAGTCTCGAAGAAATGTGGAAATATAACGAACGGAGAGGATAATGTTTCTTTGAATGTGTGTCTTTGGATAAAAATCTCATTGTGTGCTTACGTACATTTTCTTATCTTCAATCTTGTAAAGGTTATATTCAGGATCCTATACCCTGAATATAACGTTTACAAGATTTACAATTTCGATTCATTTTTTTTTATGTTGGAGGGGACAGACTAGCAGACAGGTCTCCTGATGGAAAGTGACCATCGCCGCCCATGAACGTCTGCAACTCAGGAGTCACAAACGCGTTGCGGGCCTTAATAATATATTTTAGATGCTATACCTCATCTGTTGCATCTGTACATATAATATATCTATTTATAACTTTTTCTTTAAATTTTTTTAGCTAAGAAGCTGTTCCGGGGTTTAATCCAAACCGTAAAAATTATTTTATTTATATTAGATGCCAGTTTTCTTCTCGCTCTGACTAGTAGAGGGTACAATATCATGTAGATAGCTCAGTCCGATGCACGTTTAGTCCAAACTGAAATCCTAATTGGTAAATCTTAAAGCTGGCTCTTTGAGGAAGACTCGTCCAGAGGAATCAAATATTTACACTTTCTGGTGCTTTAGTGGATTAAAATAATGTTAGAAATACTTAGAATATATAGTATAGTATTGAGTATATAGAATTAGAAAACACTTTGTCTTTATTGAATATAACAACTTGTGGAGGAACGGATGTTTTGTCCCTCCAACAGAAAGGCAGGATCTTCCGAATAAGCAAGATTGTTGTGTCTAGAATCCGTGTATTGACGGATTACCGAAAATAGCCGGAACTGTATAGTAAACGGGAAGACAAAGAAACAAACTTTTCCTTTAGACACAAAAACAGATTAAATCTACCCCCTTCTAGACTAATAATGTATTCTCGTGGTC